CCCCAAAACCCCAAAACCCCAAAACCCCAAAACCCCAAAACCCCGAGAATTAACATTTAAATGAATTATTAGCTTCATTTATAATTTGTAAATATGTCTTTACTAAATTAAAATAACGATGGCAGAGGAGGTATGATGAAATCAAGCTCAGTCAGAGGTCCATTCAATGAAACAAAAGGCTTATAAGGAGGTAATGTAATTTTAAATTTTTTATTTTTAACTTTTAGGGTCTTAGTCAAGCCCAGTTACTGCTGACCCCTATGCAAAAGTATCTCACAGATAAAAAGGAAAGTAAGCTAATGGATCTGTAATTAAAGGTACTACTTCAGCAGCCTTTATCAAGAAATCTGTTGGATCAGTTCCATCTAAATACGAAACAATTGTTTACCTACAAGCGGAATCAAAGAAGAAAGGTTTTGGCAGTAATTCTGAAAGATTTTTAGAGAGTATTAATAAATAAACAACCGAAGCTGAGCCAGGTCCAGGCAGCTATCTCACTGATGAAACTGTGACAAGCGTTCTTAAAAAATCAGACTCTTTTTCAAGAAAAGGATTTGGCAATGGATTTCTCAGCAAGCTTGATAGATTTAAGAACAACAGTATGTTCTATAGTCAATTCTAGCCAGGACCAGGCTCCTACTCTACTTCAACACATCAAGAATCCTTAATGGGATCTACAATGTCTAGTAAATTCACCGATAAGTATAAGCAGTAGAATCTTTCATCAGTTTTTATGCCTCATCCAAATAAAAGTTTAAGGAAATCATCGAATACTCCAGGTCCTGGTCATTATCAAATCGAAAAGAATCCCTCATCTTATCAACTTGACCCGATAAAGCCAGCAGGAGAATCAGCTTTTAAATCAACTTCTTAGAAGTCATAATTTTTAGCGGAATGGAATAGAGAGTTGAGTAAACATCCAGCAGTAGGAGAATATGATTTTGAAAGAGATAATTTACTCAAGAAATCAATAAGCACTCATAATATCCATAGAATAACATCAAGTTTTAAGCAACCATACAATTGTAAGAGAGTGAAAGTTAATGTTTATGATCCTTTCTAAAATGTTGAGGCATTAGAATAAAAAGTGCCTGGCCCAGGTTCATACAATGTTGAAAAAGAAACAATTGCCTACCGAAATATAGAAAAATTAACTAGTGGCATGTTTTCTAGTATGTTCTAAAAGCCTTTGACAGTTACTCAAGAAGAATAATCTCCAGATATGAGAATGAAAGAGGCAGCCAAATTGCCTGGCCCAGGTTAGTATGATGTGAAATAATATGGCCTGATAGCTGATAAGATTGCTGTAGGAAGCAGCATGTTCAAATCAGATTCCTTAAGAGAACTAATGCAGCTGCCTCGAGGACCTGGACCTGCTTTTTATAAGTAACTTCAACTTGAAAATAGAAAAATATTCAATTCTAATCCTGCCAAGAAATGGCTGTGAGCTATTCTAAAGAAATTCTTAAAATATAATGTAGTAAATTCTTAAAATTATTAAATCTACGCTTTAAGGGGTTTTGGGGTTTTGGGGTTTTGGGG